GAACATACATTTTAAGAAACATTTTAGTCCTCAGATAAGATAACACAGAATGCAAGGCCCAACTTTAAACCTATATAACAAATAAATAACAAAGAAAAGAATAATAATAAAAAAATAAAGTTTACTCTGTAAGAAAGAACATGCGCCCATGCTCAATCCAACAAATTTGCCTTACAATAGCTTACAGGTAGTTTATGATAGCTAATGCTAACAAGCGGGTGTTTGGTACTGGCATAACAGGCAGGTCACCAAGTCTGAGGCCATGTTTGTAGTACTGCTTAAAATACCAGTACTGTAAAAATATAGTTTATGATCTCACAATGGACCTAGGTGCCCTTTAACCTCTTTTTTTATCAGCAGCCTGTTGCAAACAAACTGTAGGCGGCGTTGCTTCTGTGCTCACATCCTGAGCGATGTGTTGAGATGACCGTCAGAAGGACATCATCTCTCTGTGACATTATAGAGAGCAAAGAGTAGAAGAAGCTGTCTGAAATGAAGCCAGAAACTTTGGCTCACGGGGATTACTTACACGTACGCTGCGCTCATTATCTGAATGTCTGGCTATGCTGAATGTGAACATCTACAATTTTAAACAGCAAAGAGAAAATTAGGAGCAGCTAAGTACACATGAAGTAAAAGTAGCTACATTGTAATTTTATGCACCTTAAACTATGATGCTGTTACCCACTTCACGCAAATATCAAGCTAATATTCTAGTTGGACTTTAGATAAAAACAACAAAACTACATATTTTAATCTGAAAGGTAAATTTAAATCATTTTAACACCAAAATATAATCACGTGCTAGTTTTGGAGAAACAAATATGTGAAAATACATCAAACATCTAAGCTGAATCATTCATTTTTGAGCCTCGAGGGCTAACCCCATCCATATTGTGTTAACGAAGATGAAAAATAAACAGCGTAAAGTACTTGAAAATCTTCCTCTGAGGCCACTAGCCCGCAACTCTGCTTTGAGGCTGGATTGCCGATCAGCTTAACACGCTGTTGTGTGATGTGTGTGTATAATCAGCAGACGACCATTCGATAACACGGCGGTCTGTTCATCGCCAAGGCAAGGGTTGTCTCCACAAGGAGCACTTGTTGGCGGTTCTTTTAATCAGTCTCAGATTAATTACTTTACAGACTCCAAATGCTTACACTCAATTAACTGCTAGCTCACAGATCTGAGGCTGTCCACAGCGCTCAGCTGCGGTGGCACTATTAGCAGAGAACGACAACTTCCAGCCTCTTTAAAGAATCGATAGGATTAACAGCCTCTAATGAGGACCACCATTGAAAACAAAAAGAGAGAGAGAGACGAAGAGGACGTGATGATATTTCAATGAGGCATCATTATCTCGTTGTCTATTCCCTGTTCCCCCAGGAGATCAGAAGAGCTCTGTCCATACCTTTAACGGTTCCCGTTCTGTCAGGTCCACCGAACCGTCGCCGGTCTTGTATTTGCAGTCTTTGTCCCTCTGGTCAATGGTAGAGTAACCATCTAATGAGGTCAGAGAACAATTGTCAGATAATTCCTCTGTTTCCCTGATTATCATTGAACTGAGACAAATAGTTTAGAAATGTATTTTAAACTGTGTGAAGAGGCAGCTTTTCTGAGTGTCAGGAAAGAAGAGGAGACTACACGTGCCTCCAAATTCTCAAGCCTCTTTCACACATGAACTTTAGATCATTTAAATTCTACAGTAGTCCTTTTTCACGTGTAAGACACGCTTAAAAGAAAGCACTCCATGTGATTTAGGTGAGGGAGGTGCTGGAGCAACGTGTAGAAGACAGGACACATGACGCCCACCTGCTGGAGGTGAATGCACTGGAATATTAACAGCACGATGTGCACACGACTGCAACCCGACATCACACAGACTAGTGCTAGGGAGCTAGCTAATGCCTGATGTGACTCTGTCAGACATTTGCATTCTCACGTGCACCTCTGCTGGGAAAGTCCTAGAAAAGGTCAGAGCTGCAGTGCACGTGTGAAAGCAGTTTCTGCTCCTATAAACCTGCCAGTACTCGTGTTACTTACCCTCAGTGCGTCTCAAACAAAACACATCAAGCAAGTGAGATATTAAGCGTGTCCTTAGAACAGGCCTTTAAATGTGTTTTATGCATTCTGTAGCCTGGGGCATTTTATTTATCAAGTCTCAGAGTAGAGGATGTCACTTCTAGGGGTAATGCTGTTTTTAAAGTGTCAAGCATTTCGCTTAAACCATCTAACTAAGTTCAGTAAATGCTTGTGATGAGGTAAAAATGTGCATTTGAGTTTTAAATACCATCATTTTTTTATTTATTGCTTAAAAATGTTTTGTGTAATTTATTTAGATTTTTCGGGGGGTGTCACCCTGATGTGCCGAGGGTTCTGAGTTCTACCTTCTTCAATCAGGAGAAGCACTCCTCCTGATTAAAAGTCAGCACAGAAACCATCATAAATAAGTCCCAAATTCTGCTTTGAGGTAAGAGAATATGTAGTCCTGATTTAAATATCTGCAGAACTCCTCTGTTGGTTTGTGAGTTGCCTTATAAGGAACACCAGCATTCAATAACACGGACTCAAAAGTACTTTCTGTTGCTCTTTTATTTCCCAAGGGGTCCCCCACAGTGGAAAGATGAGCATATTTGATATGGCACAGATTTTATGCCGGATGCCCGTCCTGATGCAACCCTCCTATTTGTAAAAAATAATCTTATTCTCTGACCATCAGCGATCACAAATGAATACAGGAGAGAGCTACAAAATAGTCAAAGTTGCAAATTACATCTTTAAAATCTGCTCTTTAAAGGAAGCACGGTGGAGAATCTATCCTGTGATATTCTAAAAGTATATTCATTAAGTAGTAAGAGAACAACCCAAATCCTTTGGTGTTGAGCTTGTGATACAGGCCCAGCTTTGTACAAACATCTTGTCAAGAGAGGGGTCGTGCATACAGCATCAAAAAGCATCATGTCTGAAGCTCGGTCCAAAGCAATCATACAAAGTTGAGAGGATTTAGTGGGCGAATTTTCAGATTAAAAAAATATCTTTGACGTCAAATCAGAGGATTGGACTCTGGAGTGAGATCACAGGAGAACTAGCTCTTCCTTGGCTAAGGACTATCATGCAGTCTGGCTCTTACCTGGGCCCAGCTCATCCATAGGTATCATATCACCACTGCCACATTTCCTGGTGCCTGAAAAGCATTCATAGGCCATTTGTACAAAAGCAGCACACACACAAACTGAGTCACTGAGCCAATGCTGATGCTGCTTTTCAGGGCGATGGTTCTCGGCCAGTGATTGAATAATGCAAACTGAGAGTGGGCAGACATGAGTGCCACGATTCATATGAATGTATGGATGCAAAAATAAAGAAAAAAACTGCTGCTATGCTGCTGACTCCTCTGTCAATGAGATGTTTGTTGTTGGGCCAACATACTTCACAAGTCCCCTTCCCACCCCCTTATATACACTGCTGTTACAGAAAACCTCTATCGCAGCACCTTGCAGATGCAGCCATACACGCTGGCTTAAAGTTGAGGACATTTTCTTTATCCCTGACACCATTACGCCAGTCAAAAACTCAGTCTCTATAAATCCAGCTCTTAACTTTTTAAAATTCTTTATTAATGTTTTTTTGGACCAAGGTTTTTGTTAACAGCAGCAGTATGCTTTCTGAAGTTGTAGTTACCATTTTATGTGCTTTATTTTTTAACCGCTATGGACAAAAGCATTACTGCGACATTTCACACCAAAGCGTCACCATGAGGAGGATGAAAGTAGTAGCAATGTGCAAACACTGCGCTTCAATATAGCCATGAGGCGGGGGAAAGCATACATGTCCCCCAACAAGTAACACACACTGAGTCAGATGCTTGCTCCAGTAATCATTAGCACTTGGTTTGAACCTGCTTTGAGGACTCCAGCGGTAGGGTTACTCTATGTAAATGTCCACCAATAAACATGTTGTGCTAATGCTGTGCTGTAATTTGGGTATGCAGACTTAAATAGTGACAATGTTATAAAAATCCAGTGACCCCCCCCCCCCAAAAAAAACCTAAAACAAAACTAAACCATGTTATTAAGAAGTTACCTGGATAATATTTTCCTTCAGTGTAGTAAACATGAGACTCCTGCTACCAAGAATGACAGCACGTGTGTATTCATCCATGGCAAAAAATAGTCCAGTAGCTCATTTTGTATAACAAAGGACAGGATCTACACTATCCAGCTGATGTTTGTAATTATTGCTTTTTTTTCCTTCTTCTTCTTTTTTTTTTTTTAATTGAACTGATCAACCTTAGTGTATTTTAAAATATTAAGGTCTTCGCATGAAACAGCTTAGTGTGAATATGCACATTTTTTAAAAAGGAGATGGGTTGCAAAGCGGCCTGGAGATTTGCACTAAATATAACCATGTCAAAGCATCTTAATTAGTACTACCTATTATTGGTATCAACTAAGTCGTTAGCTGTTAACCTCCTAGGACCTGGCGTCCACATATGTGGACATCCCATTTTGGGTTGTCTAGACCAAAATTCTTAATTTTGCTCTGCAAGGGCCGGATATCCACTTATGAGGACATCATACTGCCACTGTTCTATCGAAATTTAAAGCGAATGTCCTCATATGTGGATCTTGTTTTTCTCAGGAACAAAAATCAGGTTAAAAAAAAATTCACATAACTCTTTGTTTTTACATGGCTCAGGTCCCAATCAGCCCAAATAGCAAAGAGAAATTAAAAAAGCATGCCATGACAGAGTTCGGGTCTTAGAAGGTTAAAGTCTGGGACTTCTATCTGCTAATCTGCCACGACTACTAACTGAGAGTAAATTCATGGTCAGCATGACAGTGAGCTCACTTTCAGTTTTGGAGTTCTTGAAAATGGGGGAGGGGGGGGCACCTTTTATCATCAGTCTGATGGCTTGTTCCCACTGGACGGGTAATTCATCCCATATAATGGGGAGCAAATTAAAACATCTGCAGCTAATGAGACTGTTCCCATTGGATGGGTATAAAACATAACTTGACAACTTGAAGAGACAGAGATTTATCATTCGCTCCTCGAGGTTGACAGAACAGTGAAAAGAAAATCAGCAACTTGACAAAAGGGTGCGAGGACCTTAAATTAAAAAAACAAAACATATGGAGGTCATATGGAGTAGTTACTGCACACATGAAACACTAAAAAAGGATGTAGCTACTGTCTTTATTTTGATCTTAGATTTTTGAGGATTACACATGTGACAAGAGACCTAACATTATTCATCTCGTTCTTCATGAGGTGAATAGGTGGACTACTTTCTAATGAGCTACACAACAATGTCACTGAAGTGGTCTTCATTTCCCCCCGACCTCGTCCTACCCCCTTTAGTCCTCGAAACAGACACAAACAGCAGCATACACTCTACCACACACGTGCTGACTGACCTTGGTTCTTCTCCATCAGCGGCAGAGTGGTGTCATCGTAGCCCGGCTTGCCGTTCTTGGTTGCTTTAGGAGTGGCCGTCACAGTGAGCTGAGAGAGGAGAGGGAGCAGGAAGCACATCGTAACGTCATAATACAGATCAAACAGTTCCCAGTATGGAAAGATTGAACTTTCTCACCTAATGTGGGGTACGAACTGAACGCATAACAATTCATAACATTTTACGAGGTAAGTATCAGAAATTAATTATGTTGTCTCGATGATGTAAAGATGATATTGGTAACAGCTTGATTCAAATTTTAGTCGGTGGAGATTTATTGGAAATTATTTTACAATGTCAGGAACAGAAAACCGAGCCACTCTCAAAACTATTTGAATGAAGCTGCTTACAAAACACTCTTTCAACCTTCTGAGCGAACAATAACAACACTCTGGATTGACATTATTTGTAAAGGCTGACTTTGGTTCCATACCTGGAAGTGGCTTTTGTTCCACCCGTCCTTGGCCAACGCGTTCCTCAGCTCCTTATAACTCCACACTGTCTGCAGCACATGGGACGCTGCCTTCGTTTCACGTGCTGATTGGCTGAAGAGGCCCCCCCCAATCCAAAAAGGAGGAAATTAGTAGAAGAAGTAACTAGATCAATTAACGTCAGTAACCTCACCTAATCACAAAACTGTAACAGCTGGGCGTGCTGGCGAGGAACCGCTGCAATCAATCTCTTCATTCAAAGACTTTTGAGTTCTCCGGGCAGTTTCAGGGTCTAGTTTTTAATTCACAGCCAGATGAATACACATTGCCTTTCATTAGCTACCTCTGAGCCACCAGTATTAATTATATGTGGGTGCGAGGGAGGGGGCTCACTTCAAAGAAAGCTAATCTCATGAGGCTGAGAGGAAACACTAGCTATTTGGTTTGTGAATAAACTATGTATATTCATGCTTGTTAAAGTGACTCTGGATGATCAATACATCACCGCACAAGGACGGGCCTTTGAAAACTGCATTTAAAATGTGGTGCGGCTCTAACACGCCTTTATTTGCAGTGAGTAACAATGTGGTTATATAAGACACCTCTTGAAAATATCAGCCTGAATATCTTAATTTTCGCTACTAGTTGCTGAGTACAACTGAGACACCCACTGTAAGAACGGCCTCCACTTCTGAAAGCCTGTTTATTAATGTGAGGTGGGCAGTGGTGTCTGTAGCCAAGCTCGCGCCGTCACAAGACGCGTTACATTATTCATCCTCCATGAATACTAATATGAAGGCTCATGATGAAATTGCATACAAGGTCATACTATAATTATGTCTCAGTAGTAAGGCCACACCTCGTGCAGAGCTTATATGGATAACAGCATGCTGCTTCAGTTTGACTCAGTGAAGAAAAGGGGAACGCAGTCATAGAGCAACGTCAATGTAATATTTGTCTGACTGTACTTAAAAAATCTTACCTGGTCCTATTGATGGCGACCAGTTTCTCGATGGCCTGGGCCTGGATGAGGGAGCGTGCGTTTTCAGAGCTGTCGGTGACGATCTCGTGAATGGTATTGAGGATGGCCACCACAGTGTCCTCCTCCAGGTTCTTGGCTGGTCGCTGCTGACCGCTGGGCAGGTTGCTCACCAAGTCCCGCATGGCATAACTTCCTATACGGTGAATTAGTGTTTAAGGTTAACCAGGTGACAGTGACAGGGAGAATAAGAGTCAAACACAAAGCACTCTGAGAGCACAAACCTCCAGCAGCTCCCTTCCTGGGCAGTATTTCCTTTTTAGGAAGTTTCTAAATTTTAAGGCTTTGTGTCAAATTTCCCAAAATAAATCATTAAGCTGACCTCGGAGACTTTGGTGGATGTAAAGCTAATTTTAATGGATTAATATGACCCCACTCTACAGTGTTACAAAGTTTTATCAGAATTCATTAAAAAAAGTTTGTGAGCTGTTGTGCTTATAGTCAGATGGATGACACGCATGCAAAAACACAACCTCCTTGGCTGAGGTAATTAACATCTTCAAAATGAGTAATAAATTAGGTTACATCTTAGCAAGTCAGGTACTACTGAGTCTTGTGAGCCTCGTAAAATTGCATGAATAGAACAGTTTGTCCAAAAGCTTGCATTTAATAACATTTGTGTTATTCGTTTTTAACATTTTTTTTAAATGTCAGTTCTTCTTTAATGACACTCTAGTAGGGATGGGTACCGGTGTCCGGTGCCGTTCTGACATAAACGGTAGTAACCAGACCGAAAAGCAGCGCACATTTCGGTGCTTTATTTCGGTGCTTTTTTTTCCTGAGCTGTGATACACTTCTAGCCAATCATTTTACGTTTCCGAGGATAGTAGGCAGGTCCAGGTACGTACGTTCTGTTAGAGCAGAGCTACAGATTAAAATGCCCAAGGCGAAGCGGTCAGAAGTCTGGCTGTACTTCACAGCAAAATATGCAAACTCAGCAGCCTGCAACAAGCGCTTAAACTGATACTGTGATACTGTCAAAGGAGGTAACACCTCAAATCCGATGAAACACCTGGCGACGCATAGTGTTTTTTTTTTTTTAAAAGCCCAGAAATGCGCCGTATGATAGCTTGCTGCGAGACCTCACACCGAGCACATCTACTGTGGGTGGGCTGCCTAGTTAGCAACATCCCCCAAAAACCCGAAGAGGAGAGTCCTTGCCCCTAGCCCTGCCAGCGTAGCAGAAATGATGACAGATGATGATGCAGCAGCAGCCGTTCTTCTCTGCGTGAGTAGCTTAATGTTGTTTGCGTGTAATTTACGTTGAGTAGGCTAACCACGTTATTACATTAATGCATGTAAGGTGAACTAGCAAACATCATCATAGCTACATGCGGCTGTCTTCTTGTTTGATGGCAGATACTCCCTTCACCCTGGCCAAAAAGGCTAAAATGACCAAAGAAAAAGTGGAAAACAGTTAAACATGAGAGGTTTTGGACAAAGTTTGTGTTTTTTCCCATTGATTAAGCACTGCTTCCAGCCAAGAGTGATACCATATATGCCCCATAGCTGCAGAAAAGGCTAACATTGTTATCTTTATACAAAAAACCAGCTAAACATGAGAGGTTTTCGGACCAATTTTGTGTTCTCCAGTCTTTAAGCACCGGTTTGAGCACCGTTTCAGCACCGGCACCGTTTCAAAAGTACCGATTTGGCACCGGTATCGGATAAAACCTAAACGATACCCATCCCTACACTCTAGTGTCCACTTGTAACACTGACATGTAGGAATCTGAGTAATGAAAATACACAAACTCTCAAGCGCAGCAGCTTCACATTTTCCATGTGCCCGTAAATAAAGTGACACCCTTTCTAATGTGATTCCAGACTTATGAAACAAAGTCTACAATCCTTTCATGTAAAAATGCTTTCCCATCAACTTAAAGTAGCAAGATGAACGGCGTATACGATGAGATGCAATGGATGGACTTTGAAGGCTTATCATAAGGAAACTATATCAACAAAGGGAAAAATTGGAGGTATAGAATCATAACTGCATTCCCACCAACTAGTGGTCAGAACATGCAGGCATGTTAGAATTATTTTATGAAAAGACTTGTTAGCCTTTTAAACAATGTGGTTCAAATCGTTCACAGAATAATAGCAAACCTTCATTGGTATTACTGCAGTAGCCATCCAAAATAACATCAACAACAACAACTGTGTGGCTTTGCTAATTGTTTGTACCGATTAGATCCTTGTTGCGGCGGTCAATGGACAGGTTGCGCAGAGCGATGGCCACAGCTCGGACCACCTTGTCAGAGTCAGAGCGCAGCAGCTCCACCAGGATGGGAAGACCTTTCTCCTTCCGCACTGTGGCTCGGATGTAGCTGGACCACTGAAGGGCAAAAGAAGGGCATGCTGTGAGTGCTTTTTATATTCTTTAGAATTTTATATAAGTACTTGAATCAGCCCTAATATCAGTGCACATCCTTTCATTTGAGGCCCCGAGGTAAGTCCCACTGAGGAGCCTAGTGGATCTCTGTGACACCAGCACAGAGGGCGAAGACACTTCTGCAATATTCTCCACCCGTGCATGGCCATGCACACTCAGAAAGTCGTTCTGTAACTACAAGGCAGCTCATCACTGCTCCTTAGGCATAAGTAATTCACAACATCACACAGTGGGGCTCTGAATGGACATGTGATATAATTTGTCTTAATTTAAACATCAGTAGATTTTACTTCTCATTTTTTTTTAACATGAAACACTAAGCTTGACATAAAAGGGTTTCTTCTTCGGAGTGCTGATAACCCAAGAGATGTAATTAAGCAGAGGACAGTCAAAGCTGAGCCACCAGGTGGCAGTAGTAAGCCTTGGAAATAAGGGAAATCTCCCCTGTGGTACTAAGCAGAAGCAAAGAATGAGGAGGATTTCAAGCAGAAGCTCTGATATCCTCAGAGAGAAGGACACTCTTTGTCCAGCTCCCAGATGTGACAGTCTGGTGTGTTAGCAGCTCCACAGGTTACTGTTAGCCTGCTCAGGCGTTCTGATCATGCTTACCAGGGAAAACATCTAACAGGAAAGAGTTTTTCCACCTCCAAATACTCACCTTAGCTAAAAATCACTACATCTGAATTATTAAAAACATTCAATGAGAAACTCAGAGCTGAATCTGATCTAACGAAACAAGAGGAAAAAAAAGGATCAATCAAGATTTCAGGTGATTTTCCTCACGTCTCTGAGGGCTTTTTGCTGCTGATGAAATCTGAGGACTGAAAGATGTATCTACAGTCTGACACTTGGGTGTTAAGAGAAGAGCTTTTGCGATAATGCTGCCGTGGGCTGAATACAGCCCATCTGCTGGAAAACATAAGTGACCGCTCTTGCCCGAGGTGCTGCGCGTAAACTGGCAGCTGACTACCAGCCATCCCTGTTGATAATTCACTACTTGCCTGCAAGCCAGACAGCAGCTCCACAGATGCTCTAACTGGAATAAATGTGTAGACCTGACTGCACAGCTTCTCATCTAATCCATCATCAGAAGCAAAACCCTACGAGAGATGAGAGTGCTGGATAACAGATACAACACTTATCTAATATTATTCCGACTTGATGGTTATCATTACCCACCCTGTCTTGTGCTGCTGTCATGTTGATTTAGAGCTACTTAAATTGTTGGATCCCATTCTAAATGTATCTACACTTAATTTAGCTTCAATCTCCATCACAGAAACAGCCATATACTAACAACACTATTTCTAGCATTAGCATTAACATTGCTGTTTTCACCTTTCTTGATCCAAGTGCAACCAGCCAGCAACACATTGTGCATGAGCTACCTAGAGCGAGCTTTAGTTTCCACACACATACTTTGGCCCTCAGAAGGCAGTCAACACATTCTCATCCCAGCGTGTCAACTACTTTGCTTGTGTTGTGGTTAGGGTTCAAAGTTGCCCTCTGTTGAAAAATGGCACTCTGTGTATTTAAACGTGACACCAAGGACTTCACAAGAATCCATACACACCATTCGGGCATAACAGTATGACTAATATCCTGTTGGTTCTCCTTTTGCTGCCAAAACAGCCGTGACCCATCGAGATATGGACTCAACTAAACTCTTGGAGAGTGTCCGGCACCAAGATGTTAGCAACAGATCATTGAAGTCCTGTAAGCTGTGAGGTGGAGGCTCCCATGGCTGCCCGTGACCCTGTTGCTGGTTCCCCACTGTTCCTTCCTTGAACACCCGACAAGTGCTGCAGTTATGGAGATGCTCTGATCGAGTCGTCTAGCCATCATAATTTAACCCTTGTCAAACTTTATAAAACAAAACTGGATAAAATGTTCACTTTCCCCCTGATATATCCCACCTACTAACAGGCGCCATGATGAAGAGTTAATCAGTGTTCTTCACTTCAACTGTCAGCAGTCATAGCCTGACATTGTGTATGACAAGTGGGGAGTAACAGATCCATCTTATTATTACAAGAAACCTGCAGCCATGGCACAGCCGTTATACACCACCAGCATCAACAAAAGAATAGTGTTTGTCTCCCAGGGAGGGAGAGCAGACTTGGTCTTTTTGCTACCATTGCAGGACATGTACAAGGTTAAAGATGAGGACAGAAGCAGTAAAAATATAAATGAGGAAGAAAAAAAGCCAACGGGATACGGTAACACCCCAACCCAGTACTCACAGTCCACTGTCCAGCGCTGAGGTTTTGCAGAGCCCCAGCAGCTGCCTCTAGGGTGTTATAGTTCTGGCTCTCCGTCAGCAGAGAGAGGTAGAGCCTCACCACCTCTGGCTGATACAGCAGCTCAAAGCCTGCAGGGAAATACAGAGAAACAAACACACTGGTTAGAATCGGTAGCCAGAAAGATAGGCTAGTTAGGCTGTGTGAAGGTGCTGAGGTCTAACTCTGTCCGTAAGAAATGTACTTTGGCGCAGCAAAACAGGAAAAGACGCTTGGGTTTGCCATAATGCACAACACCTCTGGTGAGAGCACACAACCTTGACACAAAATGCCACAAAATTTGGACCGCAGTTCTTTCTGCAAACTTTCGAAAATGTTCCTGAGGACAAAACTATGCAAAACCGTGTTAGGAGCTGAAACCCACTGTGTCTATGTGGTTTTAAACAGCCTACAACTCCTTTATGAAGAAAAGCTGGAGCAGCGCCTAGTAAATTTCCACTTAGCAATACTAAAGCATTACCATTGAAAACACTTCAGAATTATAAATGAGGAGAACAGAAGAAGGAGAGGTTATTGATCCGACAGCCCTCACCAAACCCAGGGTATTTGAGAGGGAGGTTTATCTCGCTAGCACATAAGACATTCCAGCACAGTCGATCATTAGGCCTCCCTCTGATGGAAATGTAATTATATTATCAGCTATTAGACAGAGCAGGCACAGGGAGAGGCCGAGGTGTCGGATCGCATCAAATCAAATGTATTCATCCAAGGTTTTTCTTATTTCGCACTAACAAATGACTTACAGGGGACCAAAATGACACTTTTCTGATTCAGCGGGTGAATAGACACACTGATCTGCTCATCTTACTGGAGGGGGCAGGTCACATAGAGAGGGAACACACCCAACAGATTTTGATGACTTGACCGAAACACTTCTTTCCAGTTTTGAAGAGCCAGCTATATTCTGCAAAGGAAGCACTCCACCTCATCTAATCTAAACAAAGCTAGAACTAATGCGACAGTGTTTCAATACAGGGGGCGCAAACAGCTTTTACCCACGCAGGCTTTAACAGACTTCTGCAGCCCAGATCACAAGCTAACTGAAGCTTTAAAATCAGCTTTTACAGAAACACAGCTTCCTTCCTATCCTCAACAGGAGTGCACATACAATTTTAAATCCTTCTTCTATCCCTCAGGTCCAAATGAAAGGATATATAACCCGCTGCTTCTTCCCATGTGCTCTGAGGCCAGTAATTCCAAGGTTCGATCTGAAAAGCTCCGTATTATAGGAGCTGGGATGCACAGTAACCCCGTTTGATTAATGCGCGCAGGTTCACGAGGCTCTTGGTACATTCTTGAAATGTAGAAAAAGATTTCTTTCCTTTTCTAATGTGACTTGGGCCCACATATAAAATCAGCAGTCAAAACCCATAAAAAGGCATCTTACGGTAATGTACCCTCTTTTTATTGACTCACTTTTTTAGTAGGAGACTAAAAATAGAGGAGAGTATCATTTTTGTGCTCAAGAAGTACAAGGTAAACACATAAACTGACATTTGTGCCTCTAAATCCACATCTCACACTCATAATTTGCAGAGAGCGGAAGCCAGAGTGCTCTGACTGCCAGATTTCAAACACAGCAACATAGTAGTTAACACTCAAAAAGCGGGGTTTTCTTCCCCGAGACGCTTCCCCGTGAGATCACTCGACCAGAGGGCGTGTGGGAGGAACTGCCAGACTGTGAGATCGCTACTGGAGGTGCTGCTCCAGAAGTTACTTTCAAAAATGAAGCAGAGTGAGGAGCAGACTACCCCCTGAGTTGTAATCACACGCTAAAACATGAATCACTTTTTTTTCTCAGGGGCTACGCAAGAAAGGGGGTGGGTGGGGATTACAAACCAGACACTCAGCAACATTCTTCACGCGCCTCATATTTCTGGGCCTACTGGGTGCACACTCAGCAAACTGGAACCTATGAAGCAGGCAGTCTTGTTGACAGACATTTCATCTCCAAAGCAGATTCTCTTTACACAAAATGTCAGCCACGTTAAACCTTTGGAAGCTTTTTCTGCACTCCAAAACTGTGCATACTATGGCTCTTTCTTTTCCTGTAACATAATCTGCAAATCCACACTCCCTCCATCTTGAAATTCTTGGGGTTTTGGTCTGGCACCCAAGCGAAGAGACTTATGAAATTGGAGTTTTACAAATGAAAGACGTGCACAGTTCAACAAAGGAGATGAAAATGGAGGGAGAAATTCACTAAGCGTTTAAACTAAATCCTTTAGCCTTAGTGGAATTTTCTCACTGTTGAGATGTTAAGTATCTCTGCCAGACCCTTTTACTCAGCAGTTTTTAGATAGGGCTTAATGTCAGCACCAAGTCCCCGAGGTCTTTACTAATTAGTGCAAGCCAGGTCAAGTTCTGTTGGCAACTGTACACTGAAGTGTTGTTGTTGTCGTCAGTCATCTCCTGCTTGCCTTTTGGCCCGCTGTTGTCAGTTTGTTAGGCAGAATTACAGTTTGGACACGGAGATGAGCTGTCAGTGTGACGTGACCTTGGCTCAGGGCAACCCACAGCCCTATAGTCTGTGACAGACTGCAAACACGGTGAGATTACTTGAATATGATGGATTCAATCCTGAGGTGTAGCATGGAGAGCATGCAAATCGACTTCTGAGTTTCCCCATTTTTCAACTATATAGCTAACTAAAGTTAAGCACTAGTACTTTATACTTCTCTTGCTAGTACAGAGAAGTATCAAAACCTTTTAGCAAAGCAGATTAAATACAAGATCATGTAAATACAAGCCAAAGTCCGGTATTTAAATGTTAACCATATGCTAGCACAATGTACTTTAATCTGCGATAATCTCCAAAAATGTGTGTGTTGATCTTTTTTGGCAAACTGATAATGGAACGAAAAAGTTCCTCTAAGCTGTAATTTTAGTTTTTGCTTCTTTCAGTTTGTTTTTCTTTATTGTTGTTTTTACAGCCTACAATTTTACTGCAATTTCACAACACTCATTGGTGCGGTTTCCAATAGTAGCACACGTCTGTTTGTAGCAGGCTGCAGCGAGTAGATCCCCGTAGACTGCCCTGTTAATGTACCTCACTTCAGTGTGCTTACAGCCTAGTACCAACAATGCTTTTGGTAGCCATAGCCATTTTACCCCTTCATAACAAATGTAACTAAACTTAGCAGCATCTACCAGGCCTCACTAATTAGTTCCTTAACTGGACCTCTTAGCACCCTGCATGATATTGTTGCCTTCTGGAGTATCTGACAAATAGCGCAAGGTGTGAGGTGCAGCTTTCAAGTCAATGATGAGACCAGAGGGTGAAAGAAAATATTTACTTTGCACAGGGATGGAAGTGAATGTAGGTCAACATTTGGACTAACATTTGACATCTTACTAGTCGTAATTTTATCTGTTATACCAGGGGTATCAAACATAAGACCCAGGGGCCTGAATCAGCCCAGTAAAGACTAAACTGATACAAAACTGATACATATTGTTGAAATTACAATATGTTGTTGCTACATAAAGATATCTCAGGGATTAAATGTGTAGTTAAACTTCTTTTCACTGACAGAAAAGAGAGTTTCACTGGTCCAGCCCACTTAAGATAAAATGAGTTTGACTTCCCTGCTTTACACCACACAAAAGACTCCCGCTGAGCTCTGCTCTGAAGTCAGTGCATGCAAACACACAAACACTGTCACACACAAACACAGAACGGCACAGTCAGTAACAAGCTCGTCCCTAAATGAGGTGAGAGGGGAGGAGAGGCGAGTTACTTTTCCAAGTAGATGACAATGGCGACAACTCCTCCAATCGAGGTGGAGCTCAATTATCAGTGGAGAGAGGGGGCTCTGTGGGGCCGCGGTGCATGAAAACTGGGTTAGAAATGAAGTTAAGTTGAAGTGATTGAGTGACGCTCGGTGCAGAGCTATAGCATTAATTCAGTTCAAGTGCTCACACTATTACCTTCGCAGGCTGTGACAGGCCAGTAAATGATAATGGATTAACTGATGAGCAAGGTAGCAACGCACACACGAATCCACACGCAGCACATGTATGTGAGCATAATGAAGGCGCTTCTCTCAGATTCACACACTCATCGACTCGGTTCTCCAGAGCAATTTGCCTTGCTCTCAGACAGTTTGCTGCATTCAGGCAGAACTCGATACATACCTCTTCAAACAGCTCCATACACGCACACAAACACATCAAGCCCTTGTGATGAAAGCGATGTTCATCGACCAACCCCGACTAGATCAAGAACACGGTCTCCTTCTGCATCCTGTAAGCACTCCATTTATTCACTGCTCCATTTCCAATACACTAGGAGCACGCAACACTTCCATCTGAACAGGAAGGACATGATGCCCCATCACTTTTTACAACTCATAGGAGAGAGTCAGAGGGGGATAAAGAGAGTGGCAGGCAGAAAAATAGAAAACAGCAAGAAAAAAGAAAGCATCTCTTATAACATACTGAAGTAATTTTCACATAACAGCTTTTTCCTGTTACTCTCATTGTAAAACAGCTCCGATTGAGCATCAGAGAAGCATGAGGACGTGGAAGACAAAGTAAAAAAGTCCGGAGAAATAGCTCATAATGCTAGACTGACCACAGGATGACCTTCTCTTCCCGGATACATAAATCAGACCACCGCAGTGGGAAGCCTCAAGTCGTCGAGTCTCCACTCTTACACTCTTTAACCCTGCCAGTCCTCTTTATATTTATACCTCCTTATATAAGTACAAGCAGGCACATGGGAGAGTGCTACAGTGCTAATGAAGACTTCCGCAGGGCAGAGCCATAGCACGGCGACAGCTAAAACAGCACATCATTAAAAGTGGTACGCCACCAACATAATAATGGTCACGACTCTCTCGAGTTCATTAAAAACTAAAAGGTAAACGGTGGAGCCGTGTAAACAAAACAAGGAAATTGGCAGGCTATGCAGAGGCAATTCCAGTCGTACAGCGTTTGAAAATTTCGCTTTGTTGTTATTATTGTTGCTTGGAGGAGCACCAGATGGATGGAGTTTACACACTGTGTCAGTTTTTCAAAACATGATTGATAGTAAGAATTAGACCGGCCGGAATTTATGCAATTTATC